GTTTTTTTCTACATCTTTTAAAACATTAAATATGAGCATGTTAGGGCTAGCTTGTAAAATAATTAATATATTATCTCACTAAAACATTTATACTAATAAAAATTTAATTTTAGCATATAAATTTATCCCTTGATATAAGAGAAAGTAACAATTTTACTTATTGTTGTTCACCATATAATTATTAATTATTATTTTATTATATAATAAAAAAAGAATATTGTTAAATAGTGTAGTAGAATTGTTATAAAATTATATGATTTTTTTTTTACAATATGGATTTAATATTTTTATGATTTGATAATATAAACAAATCTATACTTGACTTTGACAAATAAAACAAATAAATACTTTAGTAAGTATTTAATTTATATATTAAATAGGAATATATTTGGTATAATCAAATACCAAATATAATCAAATAAGTCAAAGTGTACATTTTTATTTGGTATTTAATTTTTTTATTATTAAAATCTTTTTATTATACTTATCTTTTTAAAATAAAACAAATAAATAAATCAATTAAATAAATAAAATATTATAATACCAAAATAGTAATGACATTTAATGCAGTTGACTTTTCTGGATAATAAATGTAGTAAATAGAATATCCTTTTATATAATATAATGCGGAAATAGTAATGCAATAAATGCTGTTGACTTTTCTGGCTACTTAATTTGGTAAATAGTACCCCCTTTAATATAAGTACTAGTGTTGATACCCGTGCGATGCACGGGGTATAATACAAAAAATATTTATTATTGAAATATTATAAAATTATTTAAGATAATATGAAATTATATTCTCCACAATATTCTATTCAGTAATAATATGACATTTATTTATTTATTATTATTGTTAATTTCTATTTTTGTATATTTTTTTGTAGTTTTTTACTATTTAATATATAAATTTTATTATTTATAAATTTATAAAATATTATAAATGTATAAGATCATATGATATTTGTATGTACTTATAAAATTGTCGTTTATTATAGTCTTATAATTTTTTTAACAATTCATAATTTGCACATTGTTTGATAATTGACCAAGTTTAACCCATAATATTTATCTTCTGCTAGAATTATTAAGTGCATTAAATGTTAAAAACTTTTATAAACAAACTTTAATTTTTAGTGACTTTAATCCTTATGCAACACACAATTTTTTTATGGTTAAATATTTTATTTTTATGTTTCCATTTTTATTTATATTTATTTCTTTAATTCATTTTTTCAACTTATATAATGAGTTACATAGTATCTATTCGAATATTTTGATATATTATATATTTTCATGATTATCAAGTGCTATAATCTAATTTTTTATACATTCCTTTTTTATTAACTTATTTTTCATTTATAAAATAGTATATAAGAAAAAAATAAATATTTTTAAAAATTGGATAGTTTTTAATGTGCATAGGTACTTCTAAGGTGGAATTTATAATTTTGAATTGCACCTGACCATCANTTATTTATAAAATAGCATATAATAAAAAATATGTTTATTTTAAAACTTGAATAGTTTTTTTAATGTAAATAAATATTTCTAAGATGACATTTAAAATTCTGAAATGTACCTTGCCATCAAATATTAATTTTATTAATATGTTATTTTAATTTTCAATAGTATTATTACTATAAATGATATATTCAATGGAGAACCTTTTTATTGTTAAGTTGACTATATTTTAGAAAATTTATTAATTTGTGATTCAAACATAGTTATTTTAATTACTTTATCATATATTTTATGTATTTCTGATCGGTGAATATATTTAATTAAAATAATATCTATAACCATAGTTGATAATGTATTTAAATCAAATAAAATTTCATAATAGTTTTTTCTAATTATGTCAATAAAATTACTATGGAATTAATATTAAAATCTTATTGCAAATATATAACCAGTCTACAGTCAAAATAATTATATTGAAGTCAATTCATAGTTAACAAATATTAAACCATTGAGTACATAAAAAATAATTAGTTTTTTCACATATGAAATTTATTAATAAATAAAGATTAATTAAATGCCAAATACAGACAAAAAATCCCGGCACAATATCATGTCATTTATGACAATATGAATTGGTCATTATATAAATATAGATTTGACCAAAGTCAATTTTTGCACTTTGGTATTGACCACTTTTAAACTTAGTCTTACAATTGGATATTTTCTCATTTCTGGTCATTTTTTTTTCCGCATCCTGGATAAAAAGATGACGTGACGTGATGTGGCGTTGACATGGTGTGATTGTGGTTTACGTACATGTTCGAAGGACCGTTTCTTAAATGGAGCAATTTCTTATTAAATTACAAATTCCGTATTGAAATGGGATGTTATCAAATAGTTGAGATATATATGCAAAAAGCCATTGGAATTGAGAATAAACATGTACAGAAATCTCAATTTTGAGGTACAAAACGGGTACTATATTCCATGAGCTATTTGCCCTTACGGAATTCCATGAGCCAATTGACCATCCAAACGATACGTCCACTCTCTATTTACTTCTAGAATCTGAGGTTCCTCTGCAAAATATATATATGNATAGTAATTAAATGACAAATATAGATGAAAAAATTTCTCGCCCAAAATCATGTCAATTATGGCGATAAAGATTGGTCCATTATATAGATATAGGTATAGACATAGATATAGATATAGATTTATGGTAAAATTATAGGTTCGTATATTTATGGTATCATTGGGTGTCATTATCTTAATAGGTGGTATATATATTTTTATGTATTATAAAGATATATTTTTATGCATTATTAAATATCAGAATGATTCTCATACTTAAAATTGATTTTTTATTTTTAGAAAAATTGAAACAGAAATTTATTATTATTTTTATATAGATTTTTTACTTAAAATTCTCAATCAATAACTTTTAGGAACTTCAAAAGTAGCTGAATAGTAAGTCGCATAAATATTAATGTATATTCCATATTAATTTGAATTATTAATTGGATACTAATTTAGTTAAGTTAATAGAAAGTGCAAATAGAAACACGGATCTAAAGTATTATTGACAAATGCAAAAATAATTAAACTTACAAGTATACAACCAAATGTAGAAATGTTGTCAATTATAGTCATTGCATATCATCTTTATTTAGCAATAAATTCCATCAACTCCCTCTTTATATATATATAGATATGCAGAATTGTGTGTGTGTGTGTGTGTTTGTATATGGAGTTACTATGAGTGTTGAGCTTTTATGAAACTCTTCTCTTCACGTCTGTAAAGAAGAGGAATTCAGAGGGCATCTAGGGAATAATCAGTAATATGAGAAAGGATCTTGAGACAATGTCAAGTTAACAGGCATAATATATGTAAAGATATGCAACAACTACCCAAAAAGCTATGTAGTGGGTTTTTATGGTGGACGCTTATTTTGTTAACAAGCAATGTAAAAATGGGAGACTTTATATGTACTCAGCTGAAGATTTCATTCAAAAAGTGAGAAGTTAAAATACATTATATAAAATTAAGATATAGATGGTTTTATGGTTCGTTTTAATGTGATTTTTTTTATTGTTCCTGTCAATGCAATAGTTCAATAAAAAAACAAATGCAAACAAAAAATACAAAATTATGACTAATAATTATTACTTAATTAACAGTCGGCTATATCCCAACAACATACGAACATTAATTTTAAACCTCAACATGGACACAACAAAACTATGTGTAAATTTATCGCCAAGTACTTTTTTGTTATTAATTTAAATTGCGCAAAAGAATTACAAACTTATTCAGAGAGTTTATGAAAGTCAAACTTTGTCAAAATTTATTCAATATAAACTTCATTTGTATCAAATTTAGTAACATTGTTTACAAAATATATATATGAATGATCATTTCAAGTGATGAAAAAATTTCACTATATTTCACACTAAATTTGAGTCGGCCGTGCGTGCACGGCCGTAAGACAACTAGTATATATATATATATATAAATATATATATAAGGTTGGGTTGAAGTGAGAATGGTGCTCAGTGAAAGAAATAAGAATGAATCGCAGCCATTAGATCGGATGATCTAATGACTACAAAAAAAGTCAAAATTATATCTTCATTAAGGATAATGTGGTAATTGACAACACCTAAAAACTATTTGGAATTGTATGTAGAAATTTAGGTTTTGTAGAATGATTAACCTTACCTCCTTCATCCATTTACCCATATATATGGAGTTGTTTAGCTTTTCCCATACGCTTTGCTCCTCGTTTGTTAGATCACTTATTCCATTTTGATCCTGACGCTACACGTGTCCCTCCTAGACTGCTCTTCATAACTGCCCCACTTGTTCGGCCCCTAGCATAATTACGAACTCCAAACTTCCAGGCTCCTGGACTAATTAACTAGCTTGGTAGACCGAGCTAGTCCTCACTGGTTCACCTTTTCTACGATCGTAATCGAACTGCTAGCCTCAGGCTGAGCATGTCAGCTGTGCTACTAAAGTTTTCATTGGGCCGACCTATATTGACTACTCCGAGCTGTTTTATTATAATGCTGAGCTATTAAGAGTCGAACCACTGTGAAAGCCGAGTTGTTAATACTACCAAGCTCCGGACCTAACTAACTCCGGCTCGCTAAACCGAGCAAGTCCCTTCCGGTTCACTGAGCTATTATTTTGTACTGTATCAGAGGGTGCAACAGATTTTTTTTTTTAATACGTCGAGAGGAAACAAGGGGGGGTGAAGGCTGTAATGCCCCATTTATTGTGGATTATTTGAGAATTATTATTATTGATTATTATTATTATTGTTATTATTATTAATATTATTGTTATTATTATTATTATTATTATTTTTCGAAACGATAGATATATTATATAACGCGCACAAGTGTGCAAAAGGGCAGCCACCGGCTGAATACAAGACACAACCAACAGCTGAAAACGTGGGAGGACAGGTCCGAAGACCACCTAGAACCGACCCCAACGGGGTAATGAACAGGAAACACTAAAACACTACTAAAAACAACACAAAAGGCCTCAACAGGGTAATACCCGAGTGTACGATCACAACAGGATAATAAAGGCACACTCGGGCTAACTGAGGCCAACGGCCCAGACCAAAGACACAGCAGAAACAACAAACAAAGCTACTAAACTAAGGACAAAACAAAAAACCACATAAACGAAATGAGCCCTTCCTAAGCAACAACATCTAACCAAACCAGCGGAAACAAGTCGACCACGAATCTCATAGCCAGAAGCACCGACCTTAAAACTGCCAAAAACCACTCGGTTGCCTATCAGAGTCGAAACCTCCACCTCGGAACCATAGCAGGCCAACCTGCACCACGGCCTTAACACCCACTTGCTCTGTACAGATAAAGGAATGCCACGACCCTAGCCCCGGCCCCAAATCGCCTGAAATCTCTCCGCAACGACCACCACACCACCACAGCAACGCCTCGACCAACACCACTGGAAGAAGAATTGATGCAATGAACCCCTTACACCCGAGAACCGAGTACAAGAGGGGTGGTCTTGAGCACCGTCTCCACCCCGGTCGCCCAGCAAAATGAGTCGCCGAGCAATCAGGTCGTGTCCCACCCCAGGAACCGCACCACGGCTCCACCACTGCACAACAGAGAGACCCCTTACTGGAATTCACGAATCGGCACCGAAACGATGCAATCCCTCCACGATAGTCGAGGTCCCGATCCATGGAAATCGGAAGATGGAGCAGACAATAGAGGGCGGGATCCAAGCAATTAGGGGCCATCGACCGCCGGCTAAGATTGATGCCCACTGAGGAAGGCCAAAAACTTCAAATCTGACGGGAGACGGCGAAGGGTTTTTTATCGGCGAGAGAGGATGAGCGACAAATTTTTTACTTCTATTGTTATTATTATTATTGTTATTATTGTTATCTTTGTCGATTCGTATTGTTATTATTATTAAATATTTAAATACTATTATTTTTCTAGTTGTCATTAATTGCCTAAATGCATATTTTTATTATTAATATTATTATTTTTAAATAATGTTTATATTAAATAAATATTACCCGTTTTTTTATTTAATTTATCGTGCGATCAAATCGAGCCGTTAAATTATTAATTGAAGAATTGAGAACCGAGAGCCGAGTTATTTTTCTCGAAACCTGCGCGAGAACCGGCCCAGCCGAACCGGTCCCCTTCCCCAAACCGTGCATGTGTGTGTGTGTGTGTTACTTGAGGGAAAAGAAACTAAACCCTAGCTTTCTATTAAACGGTCTCTCCCTCTCGTCAAACACATAACACCCGCAGCTTAATATTTTCTTCTCGTCTTTCGCTAAAAATTTCACGACCCATCGTCGTTCTCATCTTCCCGCTCTTGCACAGAAAAAAAAATAAATATCTCTCGCCGACCCTCCCTCTCGTTTTCCGATCATCGTCGTCTTCCTCCTCTCGCAAAGAACAACCAGTCGCCAGGAACCCCTCCTTCTCCGCCTCGCCTGCAACTCCTCCGCTGCGACCAATCCATCTCCGGCGACCTACACAGCCGCAACGCCGCGACCAACAGAGCCCGCTACTCCTCCTCGATCGCCCCTCTGCCGCTGCCTCACCGCCATGAGCTGAGCGTGTCGCCGCCGAGCATCCGCCGCGAGTCGTCTTCGTTGTTTCGTCAACCCCGTTCAAACCCTTCTCTCATGTTTCCCGAGAACGGTATCAAAACTCGATCCCTCTTTCGATTATATATGCATTATGTAATCATGTTAAAGCCTTGTTATATATTTCATGTTATCAGTTTATATGTAATGTTGTGCTTATGTGTGATCTTTGTCGATTCGTATGAATCAAACGAGATCACGTTTAAAACGTGTTAAGTGCTGTGGATTGGAACAGTTAGAAGTCCTTGGCCTTATGGTTAAGGCCTCAGACGAAATAAATGAGTTATGTGCCGGTTATGAGTTTTCGATCTCCAATAGTCGCTGTTTATTTGATAAATTCTAGATAAATTGTGTGCTGCTCCAATGAATGTGAAATTTTGTTTGTGAGGTCTGTTATCTCCCTGACTTATTTTGATGTTGTGTAAAAAGTTCATGATTTTTGAACTTCGTTTACTAGGGTTAAATATTGTTTGAAGTATTCTGCAGAACCTTGATTTAACTATGAAAAATTGACATGTTGTTGTAAATTGCTGAATTATGGTGTCTGGGCTCATTTTATGATGTGTTTCCTGATGTAAAAAGATAAGATTTAATTGGGTTCATTTCGCTGTGGTTTTGTTGAAAATTCAAATTCTACAAAATCGTGTTTTAATTTTTGTAATTCGTGTGTTTCATGTTAATAGCTGAAAATTTATATGTTAGTCCTCACATGTTGTAGCTACTTGTGTTAAAATTTCAAGTCTTAATTCGTGCATTAGGTCAGGTTATGAATTTATGCTCATTTTTGCTGTAAAATTGTTTGAATTTTATAAAATTGTGTGTTTTGAGTTAAGGGCTGAAATTTGGTGTTTTGACTAAGTCCAGTGAGGTGAATTTTTTGTTAAAGTTTTAGAGCCTAACTCGTTGGGTTGCTGGACCATCTTAAATGTGTGAATTTCTCGGCAACTATTTCACTGTGTAGTTTATTATGTTAAAATATGAGAACCGGCTCGCATGTAATTCTTGAGACTTGTTTGGATTACCCTTTATGTGAAATTGTGTGAACTCCCATGTTTGGTTGGTCGAGTCTAAGTCCAAGAGTTCCAATGTCCACAGGACTTCACGAACAACTTAGTTGAATCAAGTTCGACTAAGTCTGATTATGATTTCCTTTTTTAGGTCAAGATAAGGTGTTGATTTTAGCATCTTGACTTAATGTAGGTGTTTTGAGGTGTTGACCTCACTTCTATTTCGAGACTCGTACTTGAGATTTATAGCTTCAATCAGGTGGGTACATTTACGTTGTATCTACATTTATCGCACTTATTGTTTTGTATAAATGTTTCGTTCGAAAATTTTTGTATGCGTAAGAACCCTAGTCTAAGTGTCCCATTGGTAGTGCCTTTGACGAATGCATAAACAGTGAGAGGTCACCTGCTCGTTGTATCCGGGAGGAGGACGCCCTGATCTGTGTTTTTTCGGGGGGAAAAATACAACTCCACTGTCTCTTGGAAAGGATCCCATGATCCGTGTGTGGTTTGGGCTGGGAAGGTTTCCAGTTACTTCCTTGCCGTGTTGTGATCGGAAGGTTGTTGCATGTACATAGGAGGTTTGTGATAGGGCTGTGTAGGGAGTTAGACCTTGGATTCTATGCATACTGTGTTTATGTTTTAAAATTTTTATACGGGATAAATTGTGCGGTAATGGTGAGCATGATGGTTTTGCTCACCCCCATTATTTTTCTGTTGTTTCCTCTTCTTTTCTTTAGGTTGAGCTGAGCTGGTGGCGGTGGCGTAAAGTCGAACGAGTGATGGTCGATGATTGAATATGCTCTCGTTATATTATGCTTCCGCTTATCTATGATATTGTCAAACTGTTACTTTGACTTGGATTTATTTCCTGCTTTGTTTTGGAATAAATTGATTATGTCGGATTGAACCTTGGAATTATGTTTTGACTTTACGTTTTGGAACTTAATGAATGCTAGTTTAAATTTTATATCTGTTAGTTATGCATGTGTAGGTTTAATCTGATGTATTTTTATTTTTGTTTAATTGTCCTTGATAGATAAGTAGCACCCGTTGAGTTTTAGATTTAATTTACGATTTTGCGAAAAATTTACTCTGCTTTTTATAAATAAAATCGGTAAATCCTTAAAAATAAAACGCGGCGTTACAGTTTGTTATCAGAGCTAGTATGCGTTTCTGTAAACTATCTCTAGTGTTAGTGTATTCAATGACCATTCGACCACTCACTTTCGTCTCGCCGCGCCAGCTTAAGGTATGAGTTTTATTGTTTGCTTTATTCTACTTGGGGCTTAGGAAATCTATCCACTGTGGTTTATTTCGGACTCTAGTGTTTAATGATGAACTCTAGAAATTTTATTTTGTGCTAAATTCTTTTCGGCCTATTCAATGTAGAACGATGGCCACTCGCAACACTCGCAACACCCACAACAATCGTCCAGTAACCCCGCCTCCATCCCCACCTCGTCAGCAGGCTCTGTCTAATCCGACTCTTGGGTTCCCGAGGCTCTTAGTCCAATTCCAGGACATGCACCCACTTAGCTTCTTGGGGACCGAGTACCCCACCGCGGTGCTTGAGTGGATGAAAGAGCTTGACAAGATCTTTGCAGTGCTTCCTCTCTCAGATGCGAAGTGCGTCTCTCTTGCCGCCTTTCAGATGAAGGCGGATGCATCTGATTGGTGGCTTGACTACTGGGCTCTGAAGACAGTAGCTGAGCGTAATGCTATCACCTGGGATCAGATGAAGGAGGTTGTCCGGGGCAAGTTCCTTCCGCAGAGCTTTATTGACCGGATAGAGCATGACTTCTATCATCTGCAGCAGGGCAACTCTAGCGTGGATGAGTACATACGCACTTTCACCAGGATGAGTATCTTTGCCGGTGAAATGGTGAACACTGATGAGAAGAAGGCCCGGAAGTTTCTGAACGGGCTGAATCAGAGGATCTGTGAGCTGGTTGGGAGTCACGGGTTGATGTCTTATGCTGACACTGTGCTTCGGGCACAGGAAGTGGAGAGCTATCTTATTCTGATAACACCGGTTCTCTCTTACTACCATGCTGCACAGCCTGTCCAGGCTGTATCCCCAGTCATTCTGCCGCTATCCTATCAACCGTCAGTCTTCCCTCAGATGGCATATCAATATCATGTTCCGTATGCTACAGCTCCCCCATCCTCTAGCTCTGGCAAGAGGAAGAATGATCATCAGACCCAAAAGAAGGGCAAGTGCCCTAACCATGGCCAGTGTTAGCACCAGCAGCAGCTCGTGGCGCAAAATGTTCAGCCTATCCGCCAATCCCCAGCAGGACCGCCGCCGTGTGGAGCATGCGGGCGAGTCCACGAGG